CCACATATTACATAGAGGTGCAACTTTTTCAGGTCCCACGTTCACCACGTCCAACGTTCTAACAGGTCCCAATTTTCCTGCCTTTTGGGTCATTGACCTGACCTGGAAGGTCAACCGATGACCTAGGACCTTAAAATTGGGTATCATCGGCTTCCTCTCGTCACGGGCAACACGCTGGTTTTTTCCGCGAAGCTCTAGCTTGATCAGGAGCGAAACGGCAAGGGGTTATACCTGATACGTTCGCGGCTGGAAAAAAAAACACCTATACGGGCGAGGGTCAAGTTGAAAGTATTAATTTGGTTCAAAACGATGATGTAGATAAGTTAGTTATTTAAATCTAAATATCTGAGTATGACGAGAGCGATGGACATTTTTGGTATGCAGTGTTATCCATTGAAAACAGGTCAAAGCTATTGAGTTTTTAATTTAGTGGTCGCCGCTTACTAATCATGCGGCATACACGCCGCACATAACCGCCAATGCCGCAACGCAGCTTAAATTTCGAAGTAAGCATTTAGTCTCACCCGCATTCATATGGTACCCGTCGTGTGTGTCCGAGAATTTCTCTAGTTTCTGAGGAATTTTTCGGGACCCATGCTCTGCTCATACTGCATCCGAATATACGCGGCCCGATGCGCATTACAAACGGAATAGCATACAAATGTGGCGCACTTCCGTAGCAATAGAGGTGACTAAATCAAAAATTTATTATCTTATGTCTTTTTTGCATTTAATCTGCTCAAAACATTCTCAATTAACTTAACAAAAAAAGTTGAACATGAAGTTGTCTTGCTTTGACTCATTGGGCAATTGCCTCTCTTGATTCGTCTGTAGTGCTGTCAGAAAAATGTTTCAACTGAAATTATGTGGATATTTACTATTTGGTTTTCACTATATTTATTGTTGAAAACTTGACAAAATACCGACATATTTTTTTAATATTATTTCAAAAGAAGAAAATGAAAAAATACCTATTATTTTGCATTTTAATGTTTCTTTTTGCGAAGAAATAGTTCCTGTAATACGTATCTTGGTCCTATTCGCTTCTAAGCCTCTTTCCCAGCGGATTTTGTTCGGACCGCCGATTCGTATTAGCAGGTGGATACATGAGTCGGTAGTACGCTCCTGATTCGCATTAGCGGTGAATCCGATCGTGATACCAATACGTATTTGCTTTGCTCATGTAACCGCGGATCGGATCGCCGATTCGTACTAGCAGGTGGCTACATGAGTCGGTAATGCGTTCCTAATTCGAATTAGCGGCTAAATACGTATTTACTGTGCTCATGTAACCCCGATAAATTACCGGGGTTACATGAGCGATCCGTTCCAAATACGCACTACGCTAATGCGCATCAGCTCCCCACAAACGTATCTACGGCACCGGTTACATGAGACTAATTCGTTTTATCTACGTCAAACGGATCTTGTTTGGCTCACCCGGGCTGACTCCTCGACGGCCGGTAATTCGCATCACAAACGGAATAGGATTAGCGTACAGTCATGGCGCAGTTGCGGCATTCACCGGACGACTGAGCTAATTTTTAAATACTTATATCATTTGATAGGCTCAAAAACATTTAGAATTAACATGAAATCAAAAAATGAAAACAAAGCTTTCTTGTATTAAGTCAGTGGGCACTGATTCGCCATGCAGCGACAGCAGGGTGGTCATAAAAAATTATCTATCAAAATACTTCATTCATTTTATTTCACATTCAAAGACTAAACCAAAATACCAACATTTTTTTTTTTGCTATTTTCTACGAGGCAGCCAATAAAAAAAATGCTTAGTATTTTGCATTTTGACGCTTCCAGTCAGCAAAGAATAGTTCTTGTGAAATACGGCCCGAATCGTGTGCCTCAGACGTTTCGGTTACATGAGCGATCCGTTCCAAATACGCACTACGCTTAATTCGCATCAGCTCCCCAAGAACGCATTCAGTGCACCGACTACATGAGCAAATTCGTATCAGTGACGTCAAGCGGATCTAGTTTGGCTCTCGGCCCGATGCGCATTACAAACGGAATAGCATACAAATGTGGCGCACTTCCGTAGCAATAGAGGTGACTAAATTAAAAATTTATTATCTTATGTCTTTTTTGCATTTAATCTGCTCAAAACATTCTCAATTAACTTAACAAAAAAAAGTTGAACATAAAGTTGTCTTGCTTTGACTCATTGGGCAATTACCTCTCTTGATTCGTCTGTAGTGCTGTCAGAAAAATGTTTCACCTGAAATTATGTGGATATTTACTATTTGGTTTTCACTATATTTATTGTTGAAAACTTGACAAAATACCGACATATTTTTTTAATATTATTTCAAAAGAAGAAAATGAAAAAATACCTATTATTTTGCATTTTAATGTTTCTTTTTGCGAAGAAATAGTTCCTGTAATACGTATCTTGGTCCTATTCGCTTCTAAGCCTCTTTCCCAGCGGATTTTGTTCGGACCGCCGATTCGTATTAGCAGGTGGATACATGAGTCGGTAGTACGCTCCTGATTCGCATTAGCGGTGAATCCGATCGTGATACCAATACGTATTTGCTTTGCTCATGTAACCGCGGATCGGATCGCCGATTCGTACTAGCAGGTGGCTACATGAGTCGGTAATGCGTTCCTAATTCGAATTAGCGGCTAAATACGTATTTACTGTGCTCATGTAACCCCGATAAATTACCGGGGTTACATGAGCGATCCGTTCCAAATACGCACTACGCTAATGCGCATCAGCTCCCCACAAACGTATCTACGGCACCGGTTACATGAGACTAATTCGTTTTATCTACGTCAAACGGATCTTGTTTGGCTCACCCGGGCTGACTCCTCGACGGCCGGTAATTCGCATCACAAACGGAATAGGATTAGCGTACAGTCATGGCGCAGTTGCGGCATTCACCGGACGACTGAGCTAAATTTTAAATACTTATATCATTTGATAGGCTCAAAAACATTTAGAATTAACATGAAATCAAAAAATGAAAACAAAGCTTTCTTGTATTAAGTCAGTGGGCACTGATTCGCCATGCAGCGACAGCAGGGTGGTCATAAAAAATTATCTATCAAAATACTTCATTCATTTTATTTCACATTCAAAGACTAAACCAAAATACCAACATTTTTTTTTGCTATTTTCTACGAGGCAGCCAATAAAAAAAATGCTTAGTATTTTGCATTTTGACGCTTCCAGTCAGCAAAGAATAGTTCTTGTGAAATACGGCCCGAATCGTGTGCCTCAGACGTTTCGGTTACATGAGCGATCCGTTCCAAATACGCACTACGCTTAATTCGCATCAGCTCCCCAAGAACGCATTCAGTGCACCGACTACATGAGCAAATTCGTATCAGTGACGTCAAACGGATCTAGTTTGGCTCTCGGCCCGATGCGCATTACAAACGGAATAGCATACAAATGTGGCGCACTTCCGTAGCAATAGAGGTGACTAAATTAAAAATTTATTATCTTATGTCTTTTTTGCATTTAATCTGCTCAAAACATTCTCAATTAACTTAACAAAAAAAAGTTGAACATAAAGTTGTCTTGCTTTGACTCATTGGGCAATTGCCTCTCTTGATTCGTCTGTAGTGCTGTCAGAAAAATGTTTCAACTGAAATTATGTGGATATTTACTATTTGGTTTTCACTATATTTATTGTTGAAAACTTGACAAAATACCGACATATTTTTTTAATATTATTTCAAAAGAAGAAAATGAAAAAAATACCTATTATTTTGCATTTTAATGTTTCTTTTTGCGAAGAAATAGTTCCTGTAATACGTATCTTGGTCCTATTCGCTTCTAAGCCTCTTTCCCAGCGGATTTTGTTCGGACCGCCGATTCGTATTAGCAGGTGGATACATGAGTCGGTAGTACGCTCCTGATTCGCATTAGCGGTGAATCCGATCGTGATACGTATTTGCTTTGCTCATGTAACCGCGGATCGGATCGCCGATTCGTACTAGCAGGTGGCTACATGAGTCGGTAATGCGTTCCTAATTCGAATTAGCGGCTAAATACGTATTTACTGTGCTCATGTAACCCCGATAAATGTGTCATGTGCCGTTTATGTTGTGTATGTGCGTTTGTGGATTTTTTTTTTGCGCCTGCCGCAAGAGGAAGTCCTAGAAGTTTTAGATACCGTAGTGGTCTCTATCTCCGATAGAGAAAGCAATATTAGAATAACTCGCCCCTCATCTACCCCGCCTGCCGAGTTAGGCTCGCCCAGCAACAAGCTTGCTTAGCTGGGTGGCCTATTTCGGTGGGCACTTGACCATGCTGAAACCTGACCAGGAACCGACACCGACCTTTTGATCTGCATGCTACCGGCTTATACCCATGTCCTTGTGTGATTGTTCCAACTCCCTGTACGAATGTGTAACTAACCAAGGTATGAACTATGAATGTATAGGTACTGAAGAAAAAAAAACAAAAAAAAAAACGTAGTGTCTAGTCAAAGCTATTTTTAGCTTTGATTTCTTTCCGCCCCTTGTATGCATGACTCATAACACTACTTGCATCTGTATTTGGCTGCACAGGTTTTTTCGCTTCTTTTTTTTTGTTAATTTCCTTTTCTTAGCAGGGAGTGTCACGACTTGCATATTTTTGTTTTTGGTGTTAACGTATGGTTCTGTGGTCGTGCGGGACCGTGGGTGGACACTCCCATGGTCGTCTGTTCATGGGCGGCGGACTATAAGAAAAAAAAGCACAACTCGAAATGGCCAACCACAGCAGGGTCTCAACCTGAAGGAGATTGAGACGCAGAAGAGAAGGAGAGGATCAGGATCATGGAAACAAGAGAGCAGAGGACCAAAATGAATCTGGGTGAGGGGTTTATATAGACTTGACTTCAGGTAGACTACATACTTCGTAGGATAGGTACCTACCTAATAATTCCGATGGCAAATCAATAAAAATTTATTTTGATTTGTATCTCAACTAACCACAGAAAAGAAACTTGACACAAATCCACCCCACCCGGCACAGATAAACTCACAATAAAAATACATTTCAAAATCCGTTTCCTGTTCCGTGGCCTATCAAAAACAAATCCAACAAGAAAATTTATTCAATTTGAAAATGTTTATAGCCTTGGGCGCCTTGAGTTGAATCCAAAGCTATGCTGAATAGCTTGAAACTTAAAAGTGTTCTCAATCAGTAAAAGAAACGCCGTTAAACCAATCAAATACAAAAGCTGGCGTTTGCTAGCGATAGCAGTACAGAAAACTGCGCGCAACTGCGGGTGATAATTATGGTCGGCAGTTTTCAATACCACGTTTCGTAAAGTTCCCGCGTTTATTTTGTTTAAAAACCTATACCAATAGATACAAAATTCAATTTTGTTTACTATCATCCATTAAATAGACCCCACATCGGTCTTGTTTTCTATTAATATGCCATTAACTCTCACCGTGTGACCTAAGGCGGCAAGGAAGCCAACGCATACCAGACCAAAATAATCACTGGCGGTCGCAGCCGCTAGCAAAAGGGGGGGCCAAAGTCACACTCGCGGGACATAACATTTATTCGTCACCGGGAGGGGGGGGGGGGTGATCGGCTAATTTTTTACGTCCACGAGGCGCCGTACAGTTGGCATTACTTATGCTTCATCCATCTCATTCTTGCGTGAAATCTTTGAGCTCAATTTAAGGCAAAATCACCAGTTCCATTTACCGTCTCACGGTGTGCCCACCGGTCGGGCCGCTGCACCGTCTATGACGACGGATCGGTGTAGCATAGGTATACTGGAAGGTCAGTGTTATGTAATGGGCCGTGTGCACACCTGTGCAGACCCCTGCCTGGGCATTGGCGGTGGCCGATATGTGAGTTGCCTGCTACTGTGTGTGTGATACCTGGGTCGGTCCCTGCCCAGGTCAGGGACTGCCTGAGGGGACGACCCTCCTGTCGTCCCCACCACCGTGCTACAATACAGTCAGTCGGAACCGAGCGGTGGTGTGTCGATGGTGGGCCGCGAGACATAACATTGGCGACGAGGATGAGATAGACTTCGTGGTGCCCAGCGGGTCTAGCCGTCAGATGGAGCTGCCCGATGAGCCGACGCCGTCCATGCCGCCGGGTTGGATGCAGCCGCTTCCGCCTGGGACACCGCTTTCCGAGGAGGGAAGAGGACGACTCGCCGCACCAGCGGAGAAGGATCCCGCGGCCGGGGGGCCGCCGGGGACCAGGGCCGCGTCCGCGGCGCCGCTGCCGTCGCCGCCGCCGTCTGCGGATCCAGGGACCACTCAGCCGGGGGACGCCGAGACGCCGCCGCCGTCCCCGCCGCGGCCGCCGTCTGCGGCTCAGTGTACCACTCAGCCGCAGCCTGATGATCCGCCGCGTCGCTATAACTTGAGGCCGAGGCCGATACTAAGAAAATAGGGTGGAGAGGTGTTATGTAATGGGCCGTGTGCACACCTGTGCAGACCCCTGCCTGGGCATTGGCGGTGGCCGATATGTGAGTTGCCTGCTACTGTGTGTGTGATACCTGGGTCGGTCCCTGCCCAGGTCAGGGACTGCCTGAGGGGACGACCCTCCTGTCGTCCCCACCACCGTGCTACAATACAGTCAGTCGGAACCGAGCGGTGGTGTGTCGATGGTGGGCCGCGAGACATAACAGTCAGGCACGCGGATTCATGACCTTACCACTATAAAACAATTCGGAAAAGTACAGATACATCTTGCTAAAAAGTACAGATACCTCTTGCTTTGAACAAGCATGTGAAACCCAGAGAGCATTTTTAGACTATGACATTTACCCATATAGGTACCTAGTTGTGTGGCGGCGGGAGAGAGTAGGTACACCGGCCTCTGGAGACCCCCACAGGTTCCGAGCTTTCAGAATTGGCATCTGAGGGCCTCGCGCGACTCCTGCGGGGCTTCGCAACGGCTCTGTTGGGGCTCACTCAACCTGCCTAGTCCTACTGCTAAAAAGACTGGCCCTGAGCCCTAAGGACTTCATCAGTCTCTGCCAGCCCCAGGACCCACACCGGCTCATGGGGTCCCGACCTCGAAATATGGGGGAATCAGCGCGGGACCATCAGGACGTAAAGCAATCTCGATCAGGACCAACGTAAGGCTGTGCCGGAGACTGCGTGAGCTCTCTGATCTCCAGAAACCCACCCATGTATGTTTTCATGTAGAGGCTAGTTTAGGGCCCTCAGAGACCAGTACAGGGCCTGCAAACTACAAAGGCCAGAAGTTTGAGACCATCAGAGACCGAGTTGGGCTCTCAGAGGCTAATGTGGGTCCTTACTCATTACAGGCCAGCATGGGCCCTCAGAGGTCAGCGTGGGGCCCTAAAAGACCGGCATGAGCCGTCGTTGGACCCCAGAGGCCAGCAGAGGGCCCTCAAAGGCCAAGATGGGCCCTCCTCAGAGGCCAATGCAGACCCTTAGAGGCCGGCATCGGGTCTTCAGCAGCCAGTGCGGGGCCCTTATTGGCACCTAAAGGTTCGTTTTGGGACACCAGAGACAGAAATAAGGCCACCAGAGACCGGTATGAGACCCTCAGACGCCGGTTGGGACCCCTGAGGCCGGTTAGGGGCCCTCATAGGCCAGATATGGGGCCTCAGAGGTTGATGTAGGCTCTTAGCGGTCAACGTGGGCGCTTGACCGCCACTGAAGTTCCCTCAGAGGTCAGTGTAGGACGTTCAAAGACCGGCGTGGGAGCTATATTAATAGCTGGGCGTGGGTTTTTTAGCCTCGTGACGATCGAATAATTGCCAGGGCCCCATACACCTATGTGGGGGCCCATTGGTTGTTTGAGGGGGGGGGGGGGAAATGATATGATGGCCCCCTTTATTGACCTTTGGGGGCATGGCCCTGATGCCCCCCCCCCCCCGGCCCCCCGCGACCGCCACTGTGTACACATTACACACATGCCTCTGAGATTACATACTAGCTCATGCAAACTCTATGCAGGCCCCGGAGGTCCCACGCTAATCCTTAAGAAACCAAGCCGGCATACGGCGTCACCACCGGGCTTCTGAGGTGCACAGCACCAACCCATGAGGTCTTACTTTAGTGTCTTGGAGCCAATCTCCTTTAGCAGGGCCCACCCGCCACTGCCGAAGAGGGTCTCATGCCAGCCATTGCTGAATGCTGGGCCTACGAGAGCCTCAAGTAAACCCACGCTGATATTCCATATAAGATCCGGCCATACTCGTGAACCGGTGCCAGCGACGCTGACCGCCAAATTGACAGAATGCGAAACTGAGCCCACTCATGAGTGAAAGTTACGTCCTTTGAAGGCGCAAGAAAGAAAATGAAACATTCGAAAAGCTTTTCTAGGACTTTTGTTCGATCTGAAAGGTGGGGCCAAAAGATAGTATGGCCCCACCTTTCAGCACCAAAGGGGGGGCCATGGCCCCCGTGGCCCCCCCCCCCCCTGCGACCGCCAGTGAAAATAATGCATCTTTTAATTCTTAAACTGCAATAAATCATACATATTTTGGAAGAAAATTGAATTTTTATTTTAATAAAGGGTCTTTTTGAGCCCAATAATGACTAGTTCGCCATCTAGCTATGTTTTCGTCCAGAACTGTTTTGTATTCAAAATTTGAAGTTTTAGAATTAGACGTAAATCTTTTAAAGTTCCCGCGTTTCTTACGTTTTGACATTTTAATATGTTATAATGTAAGCGATTCTGTTAATTTTAGTGAAATATTTAGACCCCACATCGAACTAGTTTTTGAGAATTATTACATATAGTGGAACAGGGTGACCATGGACAGCAATGGTGGTTATGTATTGCACATCAACTAAACACAGTTTCCAACCTTTAAAAGGCAACAAAAGGCACAGAATCTGATAGATAATTCAATTTTGATATTTTTTGACCATGTTGTAAGCCCCACATCACTGAAGTTACTCGACAATTCATGGTAGAGCATTGGCAGGTCCGGTAGGCTGAACAGCTCAGAACCATGGTAATTTCGAAATTCAACAAAAGGGAGTTGGCCTTTGATATTACTTTTTGTCCTTCAATTTTAAAATGTTGATTGTGAAAAATTAATTTTGTTCATGAACAATCCTTGCAACTTAAGATATATAATTTTTGAAATGGCGGAGATAGCCAACAATTTATTTTCATTAATGCTTCACAGATTCATACATGGCGTGGTGTCTGATCATAAATCAAAAATATATATACAAATAATAAAACTCATTGAAATTTGTTGCTTAGTTCTCTTTTTTAGACTTAAAGGGTCAGCTTAAAATAGTGGTCAAAATACCTTAGTGTTGTAATTTCGAACCGGTTTTACCTAGTACTCTATTTACCGGGGTTACATGAGCGATCCGTTCCAAATACGCACTACGCTAATGCGCATCGGCTCCCCACAAACGGATCTACGGCACCGGTTACATGAGACTAATTCGTTTTATCTACGTCAAACGGATCTTGTTTGGCTCACCCGGGCTGACTCCTCGACGGCCGGTAATTCGCATCACAAACGGAATAGGATTAGCGTACAGTCATGGCGCAGTTGCGGCATTTAGGGGAAAGTGGGGTAAGACGGGCACCTTAACTTTGGAGCCATTTTTCGGCCGGTTAGAAACATCATAGAAACGGGAAACTGAGTGAAAACCTTTTACAGACATTTTACTTCCATTTGCCAGAAGATGAGACTTAGACCTGACTCAACAAATAAACTGCAGCTATTTTTGCAAAACCTTGCAAAAACCCATCTTACCCCACTCCATGGGGTAAGACGGTCACATGGGTAGGGCAAGACGGCCAGCTTCTTTCACCGACCAGCACAGCTCGCAGCAAATGCCCGAGATTAGCCGCATTGATACAGTCGCTCGTTGGTCTCAAGTGCTTCGGAAATGGCAGTATACGAGATTCGTGCAGAAGGCGTATACTCGTATATAGGCCCTAGTTCAGAAGCCATGTAGAGCCGTTTTTCACATTCATTATTCGAGAATAAACTGTGCCGAAGGAATATTGCTAACATGTCTGTGAGTATCGGAATCGAACATATTCTTATCAGAAATGCTTCTTTTTTCCTACAGCAACAAAAATATTTTTACCATTACAGACCCATCGGATTCATAGTTGCCCGTCTTACCCCAAACTCAATGTCAGAAGTTCAGCACGATTTTTCTCTGTG